TTGATTTATCAAAATGTAGTTGTAGTCTGAGAACATGTGGGTTAAATGGGGTGTGTCGCCAGAGGGAACACTGGCATTTCATGTTTAAAAGGGTATAATACTTGACTCAAGAATCAGAATCATTTTTCTTGCCACGTAAGTAACAGGAAGTCACAGACTTAGAAACATGCATGAATGGCTCAGAAGTAAAAGTAAATGACAAGCCCATTTTGTTAACAAGAGTTGCCAAAGTGCTGCACAGGAGTAGACTGTTTATAATAGAACAAGCAAAATGGTTGACAATACAAATAAAATGTAGGGCTGGGCGATATGGCTGAAAACTATCACAATATAAGTAATTCATATCGGTCAATAATTATATATATTGAATGATTGTTTTTTTGTTTTTTTTAAAAACCTTAATAAATACATTTGTCGTTAGGCCTGTCACGATTACTAATTTTGCTGGACAATTAAGTGTCTCAAATTATTGCGATAAGATTGTAATTCTGAGATCATTTTCATCTAATACAATGATAATGATGCAGGTACACCTTTTCAAAGAGAAATACTTTTATTTTTAAAGACCACCGCCGGAAGTGGCGGAATTAAAACGCCGCTAGCTTGATGCTAACGGAGTTAGCATCATGCTAGTAGCTTTTAATGCAGCTGCAATAATGCAGCTCTGCAGCGTCTTTTGTCCAGAGACCTTCCAGAGACTTTCTATAACAGCATTATTATTAAACGGTACTTCCGCATCGGCGAACACGCTAACGCTATCTGCGCTAGTTTAGTTACTACCAGAGAATGTGTCCCCCATTGTCAATCCTGGTTAAGTCCTGTTTATTCCTGGTTTAGGTCCTGTTTTGGCTGTATTTTGTATTTTTGAGTTATTTCAGTCTGCTCGCTATGACCGCTAATGTTCCCGTGACCACTTTGCGGCTCTCTGACCCAAGAGAGCGAGGGAGAGACGGGAAAACAAGCATGCAAATGGAATTTATTGTGGCCAGAAAAATTATCTAGATAATTTTAATTAACATGCGATTAATTGATTTATTGAATATCGCGTCAGGCCTATTTGTCGTGTCTGCTAACACACGTTAGCAGCCTTGTTTACAGTCACGGGGGAATGAGGCTAGAGGAATATGTTCACAAGCACAGTGTCCCCCATTGTTGGTCCTGGTTTAATCCTGTTTTGGCTATTTTCGAGTGTCTTGTGCCCTCGTGCCGAATGCATCGGGTCTCTGTGTCCACTGCCGCGCCGCACATGCTATGCCTCACACATTTTGCGGTTCATACTCTGCTGCGATCGGTTGAGAAGCCTTTGCCTAAATCCCCCAGAATGCTGCACGCTTCTGTCTCTGCTTTACTTCCTGTGTTTTCTTCCTGTTTTTACCAACGAGAGTGAAGTTGAACTATCAAACATTCTATCGACCCCGTTTTCGAACATGTGTCTATCGTGATTTATATCGTTATCGTTTTATCGCCCAGCCCTAATAAAATGCCAACTCTTACTAGTTTGTAAAATCAACATCCATTAATGTCGTATTGTCTTTGGGCTAATTATGAGGATGGAAAAAGCAGTAAATTAACAAGTGGTGCCTTCACTGCTGCTGGTTCCCTTCTGGCAGTTTTGCGGCAGCTATTTATAGCCGTGACGCAGAGAGTCGGCTGACGTCGGTCTGTGACGAAGGCATCAAGCTTTCTACTTTCTACTTTAAATATATAGAGTACCTTGGTTTATTCACTGTGGTTAGATGGGGACAGTATGCATACATTTGTATCCGGTTATTTGAATACCATTAATTTATGAAAGGGAAGGAGATTGCCTTAAATTAATAAATAGATGCATTGGTGGACAGTTTTGGGGGCAATTGAATGACTATAGTGTACACCTGTGTTAATTTTGACAAGAAGTTCTAATTTCGTTTAAGTCTTTGGACCAAAATTAATTAGTTTAGTCATTATGTTGGTCATCTGATTTCATTTAATTTTAGTCCTTATTTTGTCAACAAAAATGGGAAGCAATATATATTATATATATATTATAGTCGACTTAAAATACTTTTTTCCGAAACATGTTGCTCATGACATTTGTTTAAAGAGGTTCTCACCCCCGCTCCTCTGAGCTTACGTCACTCTCATTTTCTTTTCAAATCTCCCTCCAAATGGGTGTAGCGGCTAAGGAGCTAGCGAGCTAGTGCCGCTAGTAGAGCTAGCAGCCACCTGCAGCTGCCTCTGCAGCAGAGGCTGCAGCAGAGCAGGATTACAACACATCATCAGTAGGGTAAAACTAACCTGTCTCACAGGTAGCCTTCCCATTTATGTTGTGGGGGTCATATAGTTAAAAAATTCTTAACTTTGTCCGTCTTGAGGAGCGGATCCCTTTCTCAAATGGGTCTCTCTCCCTGTGGGTTTCCCTAGTTCTCCCCAAGGTTTCTCACTTTTTCCCACTGGGTTTTTTAAGAGTTTTTCCTTGTTGATGCAGGAGGGTCTTGTTGGACAGTTAGTGTCCAACAGAAAGGATTGGTGATGATCAGGACACTTTAGCATTCTACAACATGTATGGACATTTTCTTCTGTGTGTGCTTTATATTTTTCATGTGTTTTAACTGTTGATTCTCTGACCTGTGTTGGTGATTTCAATGGTTTTGTTAAGTCCTCTGAGATGACTTCTGTTGTGACCTAGGGCTATACAAGAATAAATTGTATTGTATTGTAACTCTGCCACAATAACCTGAGGCCACTGCACCTCCTTGTCCCCAAGGGAAATGATACCCCAATGTGCGCAAAAGAGACGGTAATTTAACACACGCTCAAACATAAAGTAGTATTTATTGTACACAAGTACAATAAACAATATACAATGAAATTGCACACTATATAGCACACTAGTAATACTAAAAAAAGTCTTAAGCTAAATTCAGCAAACTAATCTAACAATAAAAGCAACTAATGACTAAAACTCCAATATTCAACAACGCTATTAATACTACACAATTATCTATAATAGAAACAGCTATGCTAATAAAAATCTCCCTAAATGCTATAACTAATTGCAAACCTGACAATCGATGAAAATACTATCTGCTATTCCTTCTCCAACTCATACGGGGGCGTGAATGAGACTGGGCCGTTTATATACCTCAGACCAGCGGGGCAGCCCACGTCAGCCCTTGCTGCTGCGCCAATATTGGCGCCAGATTCAAAATTCAAATGTAGTAATACAGGTTGCCTGCAAATGGCGCCTCACAGATGGTTAATGGCAGAAAGTTGATCTTTCAACTAATTTGCACCAAAGTGACAAAATTATGACCAGGATATGTAGACAACACTATTGGACACTCATTTATACCATTTATCAGCAAAAAAAAGTGAGGGTGAGTTGTCCTTTAAAGAGGGACATTTTTGTTCAAATACATACAGTATTGCAGCATGTAGCATACGGGTAGCTATGACTTGACTTTACTTTTGGAGTAACCTTTCTTTTATAGAATATCATTGTAGATGTCTCAGAGGCACCATTTATTGAAGGCACAAAAGAGTGTTTTAAATGTTTTGTCCACATGATGGCGGTGGAGCAAATGAATCACCTCGAAGCTTCCAACATGTTATGGCTGCGATGCCACTTCACAGGGCTTCATATTACCATCTCTTGTTTTCTTTGTCACACCTACAAAGGGTCCATAGATATCATCTTCTTTTTCTCCCAGCTGTGGACATGTTCTTTTCATCAACGACCGATACTTTACAAGCTTACGAGAGTGGTGTTGTGGTTAGTGTTGGCAATAGTGGTGGTGTGGTTAGCGTTTGCAATAGCTTCTGTTAAGAGCTGGTGCCACCGGTGCTTACTAAGGCAAGCCCTCATTGGTCCTCCTCCGGCCAGTCGATTGGTTTTCTCATTTGCTCTATCCATTCTTCTGATTTGATATCGTCATGGTCCATTTTTCGTGTCGTCTTTTATTCGCGGACAAAAATGTGGATTAATTTAGTCATCGTCTGCGTCTCAACAAATTACTTTTATTTTAGTTTTCGTCCCCAAAAATAAATCTTATAAAGATGAGCTTGGCCTGTGATTTTCATTGGTAAACTAAGACAGAATGAAAGAGAATTAACAAGTCACGTCTGATTTTTTTTTTTTACATTTTGTTCGCAATGACTGAGCTAAAAAAAAATCTGTAAGTCTTAACAAGGTTTTTACACACTTTTGCTGGTATTTTGGCTTATTCCTCCATGTAGATCTCCTCTAGAGCAGTGATGTTTTGGGGCTGACTTTCAACTCCCTCCAAAGATTTTCTGTGGGGTTGAGAACTGGAGACTGACTAGGCTACTTCAGGACCGTGAAATGCTTCTTACAAAGCCACTCCTCCTTTGCCCGGGCGGTGTGTACCCAGCCACGTTTCATCTTCAATGCCCGCTGATGGAAGGAGGTTTTCATTCAAAACCCCATTCATTCCCCATTTCTTTTTCACGGATCAGTCAAATTTCTTCACACAAACTCGAAGAAAATGTATGGATGGAAGGATGGATGGATGGATATATTCAATTTTTTGCATAAATGCCTCGGTTAATTCTAAATATTTTGTCTGGAATTATGTTAGAATATAATCCACCAGTTTAGCTTTAACTTTTTTAGTGTCAAATTGAGATGAAAATTGCATTGGCATTCTATACTACTTCTTTATCTTTCATTTAGTAAATACAATGTATAATTTTTTTATTCTTTTGTATGTCCTCCGCCATATCTACATTTTGTGATTTAGGGTCATACAAGAAAAAATTTAATTCTTGTATGTATTCTACAACATGTATGGACATTTTTCTGAACATGTGTTCTGTATTCTTTTTGTTTTAAACGTTAATTCTCTGATCTGTGTTGGTGATTTCAATGGTTTTGGCAAGTCCTCTGAGATGACTTCTGTTGTGATTTAGGACTATACAAGAATAAATTGTATTGTAAATTGTATTAGAGATGGCGATGCTGTTCACTTGCTCATGACTTGTCCAACCTTCTGCTCCAGGTTATCCACGGCAGCCTGGTTACATACCAAACGCCAACTACCCAGGACCCGGAATGGGCCCCATGAACCCCATGGCAGGACAGGGCGGGGGCCCTCCCTACGGCAGCATACCCCCAGGGCGAATGCCTCTGAACCAGATGGGAGCCAGACCATATGGCCCCAACATGAACCCCAACATGGGGAATTTGGCTCACCAAGGAGGACCTGGCATGTGTCCTCCAGGCATGAACCGCAAGGACCCAGGCGCCATGCTGCATCCAGGGACCAACTCCATGCACAACCGGTGAGTTCAAAAGTGGATGGAAGGGTATAGACTCTCAGAACAGGAGACAGTAATTGTATGTGTGTCTTGAAACTATTATGAGACATGCAGAACACGCATATGCACAAACCAAACTGCACATTTCATGAACAAATGCGCTATGGCTTATGTTATGTTATTGCAATAATGGCAAGCGGTTTAACTTAAAAAAAAAAAAAAAAACATTTAATGTTAGAGAATGGATGGGAAGAATAAAACGTAAAGTTGCAGGAGAACATGCATATTGTTTTTTCTTTTTTTCACACTTCGTTCCAATATTTTGCAACCCTAAAAACATTGATCTCAGAACAAAATGTGCATGCATGCAATGAATGAATGATTGATTCAGAAGTAGCCTTATCTTACCATACCGTCGTACTCATTTCATTTTGTACTTAGGCCCTGGATTTGCTCAATTGAGCTCCGTTAACAGGTAGGAGGGGTTAACTCCTTTTGCAGATTGAAACAATTGGATCTTTGTTTGGTGACGTATGCACCCGAGTGAATGAGACATTTAGCCTAGCCAGCTCCTTTGCCACTAACAGCCAGCAATGAATTTTGCTGGCATTCCTGGAAAAGACACCCTTAACAGGCTCCAACTCCATTAAATACAGCCGACCTGTAAAAACGTAACATACCCATTGCTCTTCCTCTGCAGGATGCCTGGGTACCCCGGTATGTCCCAAGGCATGATGGGCTCTGGCCCCCCCTACGGTCCCTCTTTGAACAACATGACTGGGATGATGAATGCCCAGGGGGGATCACCTTATGCCATAGGCCCCAACATGGCCAATAACTCCAGTGGTAAGTTATGCTCTTCTAACTATGGCCTATGAAAACTGTCCTTCATTGTAACTTTAAGCTACGTTCACCGCATTGTCGCTTGAACCATGCACACTAGACACAAATTCACTAAATTTCAGCCGTGTGAGTTAAGAAAATATGAAGTACGCAAGGCGGAAGTGGTGGGCAGGCTTTTTGTGTTCATCTTTAAAAATGCAGCTCGGCAGAGTCTCAGTGTGACGAGACCTTCCAGAGCAGTGGTTTTCAAAGTGGGGTACGCGTACCCTTAGGGGTACGTGGGGCTCCCTCTAGGGGTACGCCAAATAATTTTATTTTTTATTTTAATTTAACCAGGAAAGTACCATCAACTCATTGGCGTCAACATTGTTTTTCAATCTTTTCCAATCAGTCTGTGTCTGTGTATCATATATGTCTGGGGTTTGGCTCTAGACAGTATTTTATTAAGCCAGCAGGTGGCAGCAGAGCTCTGTGGGTGTCTTGGTCAAAGATCACTGCCTGAACATTCTGAGCAGGGATCAGGCTACATTTGGAGGCAGTTTGAGCAGTAAATGTGTCTCCAGAGCTGACACAGACCATGTGGAGGGTCAGAGCAGCAGACCATGTGGAGGGTCAAGACAGCGGTGCACCCCAAAAAAGCCACAGAAAAGTGGACTATTGCTAAAATTATCACTATCACAGTTATGGTCACAGCGCTCGCTGGACTAAACAGAACGACACTTTGTAGATGTAACCACACACACAAACGTGCGCATAAAGACACATACAGACGCGCCAAAACACACAAAGACACACACCAGTATTCTATTGCACTTATAGTATAAGTATATTGTCTGTTCACTTTGATTTATTGTCATTTATAGTGTTAATCATTGTAATTTTGCTTATCTCTGATTTACTCTTATCGACATAAATATAGCACCACCTAATGGATGAATACCAGCCATTCTTTCTGGGATAGTTTGTCATGGGCTCTACTTTGAATACATTCATTTTGACGTTTTTTGGATGAGTACATTTTGAAATAATCGAGCAACACTTTGTGGATGTGGGTGTGTGTGCCATAAATATTATTTTTGCATCAAAAACACCTTCTCATAACATCATGTTGCTGTTTTCTAACATGTATGATCCTGGACATGTTTGAGGAGATAGTGTTAGTTACTTTTCTGCAGGTTTGTCTGTTTTCTCAAACACCTCATTTTCTAAACTTTTTGTCTAAGAATTGTGCTTTTTGTCACACTCCCCTCTTTTCGACTGGAGATCAAAGGAGAACGAAACGAGCTAAAAAACAACTGAAAGTAGACAGTCCTGTCTTTCAGACTCTGGTTTCATATTTTTTATAGCACAAAATATTCTGTGAGTCTTGAAAATCAATGGCTGGCAGTCAATGAGAACCTCTTTTTCAAGGGAGTCCTGTACAAAGATTACATACAATTACAGATTTTCAAAGTTACATACAGATTTTCAAATAGTTACATACATTTTCTTAAATTTACTGATTATAAAAATGAATTATTTCACTGAAGGTGTCTCAAGTGCTCTCAATCTGGATCTGAAAGCATTCAATGAAATACAGTCAGATCATTTCCAGTCTTTTTGCAACACGTACCATGTAGGAGCAGTATATACAAAAGCTTCTTTAGGAATGAAACCTCTGCCTTGTTTTTGATGAATCCTTAGGCTTATTACGCTACTGTATAGTGTTGGTAATTTGTGGTGGTACTTGGAGAGGCAAGTATTTTTTGAGGTGGTACTTGGTGTAAAAAGTTTGAGAACCACTGTTCCGGAGAATTCATAAAACTGCAGTACGTTTTCAGAGGTTTCACTATAGGTTTATTTTTATTATTAAACAGCGCATCGGAAAACACGTTAGCCGCACTTGTTTACACTCACAGGATAGTGAGAACTCAGGCTGGAGACATCGGTTCACAAGCACTGTGTCCCCCATTTTCACTCCTGATTTAGTTCTGTTTTAGCCCCTGCTTTGGCTGTTTTTGAGTGTTTTTGTCTTGCTCAAACGGCTAGTTTCCCCGTGACCACTTTGCGGCTCTCTGATTGGTTGCCGCATGTGTGGCCAGAGGAAAAAGTTCAATGTTCATCTCCTGCTTTCACCGCATGCATCGAGTCGCTGTACCCACCGCCAAGGCGCAGCAGAGGATAGAGAATAAAGTTCGTCAAACTTAAGACATTATAGAATGATCTTTTGTGAGATCTGTACAGATATCACAAAATTGTTTGAAACTCCTCAAATTAACAAAGTTAATTGGAAATAAAAAACAGGACAATATCCATCCATCCGTTTTCCACCCCTTAATCCATTTCTGGGTCGGGGGGGGTGGCAGTCAGAGATGCCATCCAAGTCACATAGCACCAGCCCCTCACTGATCCTCTGAAGGTGGCGAGTCCACAGGAGGACGGCTGCTCTGTCAATGTGAGCATAGCCGTGATCTCTCAGCGGGGAACAATATTGCATTATAATCAATCTGAGAACCACTGCAATATTTTACATGACGCATATATCTGTAATCTGTAATCCACATTTGCAGATAATGACTACTCTTGTGTTTTTTGCAATAATGAAAAAATAAATTAAAGAATAAAGTTTATCTTTTGTTCCAGTTGTTTACATCTGAGGACCACTTCTTATTTACTTGTTGAATATAAGTAAATAAGTTATATTTGGTTATTTATGGGTTTGGCAGGATTATTCTGAACAAAATAAGAAATAAAAGTACCTCAATAATGTAAATCGACAAAATTGGCTATAAACAAACTTGCCACTAAGAGAATACTACAGGATATCCAGCTAGACTTTCTGTAAAAACCAAAAGAATGTAATGAAAAAAAATCAAATCAGCCATCAACAGTTCAAACTTTGATTAAATATGCATCGGCCACATGGCATTTATTTGACCTTTTTAACTCATTGAGTGCCAGCCTTGTTTCAACAGCTTGGGTTTAGAATGCCAGCCATTATGTCATTTTTTTCTGATATTTGCAGAGCCACAGCATATTATGTGTTACTGCCATAATCACAGGCCATAACGCGTTTAAAAGGTGAGGCTTTGAACTTTCAGATGGTGAAAACCTTCCGTTTCTATCAGCTTTTGCCCCTGAGATATCCTAAGCAAAAGATGGGAGTTTTTCATGAAAATCCCTGTGAATTTCCTAGAAAAGGACCCTTTTATGAAATATCATTTTTTTGAGTGTACTTCTTCCGACACATACATTTCTGGGTCCACGTACATTTATAAGATAGATATCTTATAGGCGCGTGGGGTAGGCAACAAAAAAAGGAATAATTAAATCTATATGAATATTTATACCTCCCTTACAATGAACACTCGAGATGAAATTTGATCCATATGAAGATTTATGGCAACAACAATACGAATGTCCAATCGGAAAACAAATGTTTTTTTTAGGAATATAATATAAGAAAATAAAAACATAAAATCCTCCTCTGCTTTTTTGCAGACAGCGACAGCAATATGCGACCGCCTACACGCGCAAATCTGTTGGTTCTGATTGGTCTCTATTACTATTCCGCCCAGACCAGCCCGTGCTGATCTTTCAGCCTGAGTGCCTCCCTTGCGCCTCTCTCCTGAACACCTTCCTCAGAGCAAGCTCCCTCCTGTGCGCGAGTCCCTAAAGTTGACTCACTTCTTCAATGTAAAAAGCGCTCAAGCGTGTCTGGCGAAAGCGCACAGACTTTTTTTTGATACTTTTTTCTCATCTCCGTCAGCAGCTAGGGACACAGCCTCTGTTTGAAGTTTCCGCTAAAGCACATGTGTCAAAGTCAAGGCCCGCGGGCCAAATCCGGCCCGCGAATGAATTATCTATGGCCCCCGGGACATTGCCTGCCATTGAGGCAATGTATTGACCCCTTAAGCTCGCTAGCCCCCGCCGGCGGGAGCAAACAAGGAAAAAAATACATCTGCTGGCAATAGCAGATGTATTTTGAACTTCATAAGCCACAAGCTATATATCATTTTAAAGGTTATTTTCTCAGCTATATTTATATGCAAGTGTAAACGATATCGGACTTTGCATTAAAAATATATAACGCATAATATGGGCACAAAATAAATCGGTCTGTATTTGTTTTTTACCTTTCGTCTTCTGCTGCTCCAACAAATTAGACTTTCCCCATCCTTGCTTAGTCTCTTTCTCTCCGTAACTGTTCATTGAAGAAGAACATTCACTTGTATTTCCCAAAGTATAATCCATTCTTCAGATTTAATCAAAAAACGCCCCGAAAAGAGGTCCAGACTGCTCTTTTACATTTCACCAAGTTTGAGCTTTTTCTTTTTTTACTATTTTCATGTTCTCCGATGTCTATTACATCTAATATGTACATTATGAGGATTGGCTTTGGAGCATATTTTATCGAGCCAACAGGTGTCACCGGCACTGCCTCTGGATGTTGAGAAACATTGAACCAGTCCGGCCCTCGGCGCATAGCAAAAAAATTTTTTTGGCCCTCTGATGTATTTGACTTTGACATGCCTGCGCTAAATCAAGACTGCCACCTAGTGACAAACCCACGTAAATATCTTTTTTGACCTCTGCCCAGGATCACTATATGAGGCAATGCGACAACCACTCAAAGCTGCGTTATGAACAATAAATAACACACGTTTAAGTGTTTAAAGCTGCACTAACTGACTTCATTTTTGTATTCATTACGAAAATGCTATCCATGTCCATGTAGTGCATTGGGATATAAGTCCTTTTGAAGAAAAAGTAGCGCAGATTTGTGCTTCCGTGACATAATATTTTAGATCGAGTTTTGATGAAACAAGGAAGAGAATGTGTTTCGGGTCGCAGATTGTGTCCAATCACAGCGCACCACTAGCCCCCACTTTTGTGAGAAAGCCACAGGTCTTGTTAGCACAGAAAGCTGAGTTAGCACAACAAGCGGCGGAGCTAACCTGAAGCTTCCTCGTCTTTGTCACCGGTTACTGCTTACACAGCGAAACAGCCGTCCTAAAGAAAGTCCCGTTCCTCCGCGCTTCCCGGTTCTATCGTTCTATGGTCACGCCATCCACGTGAAAATCCATAGCCATGGTTTTATCCATATTGGGAGACGCTAGCTCCGTAAACAACAGTGGGTGTGCGGTAGCGGGGGGGCGATAGCTTTGTGGGTGCGGGAAGGGGAGGAGAAAGAGCGAGGCCAGCGAGTCCGCTGCTTCAAAATCTCAAGGTCAGTTAGTGCAGCTTTAATGAGCTTTAGATCGTCACACAAGCAGTTAAATTTATCATAGCATTCCCAAATTTACACACAATGAGTGTCCCGGTGTCTACTTTCAAAATGTATTTTAAAAAAAAGCATTCCCGTAAAATTACGTTTGTGGCACTCAACGCATGGAGGCACTGTACGTAAAATTACGTTTGTGGCAATCAATGAGTTAATAATCATACACCAGTGCAAATGCATGTTTCATGTTTCCCCATCTACAGGAATGGCCCCCAGTCCTGAAATGAACAACAAGATGAACAACAAGGTGGATGTCAGTGCAACCCCCAAACCAGAGCCCAAGTCCAAGGTATTATGCTTTTCATCTTTTTGATCTTAAAGGAGATTAGGAGATATATATATATATATATATATATATATATATATATATATATAGAAAACTTTTTTTTGTCAACAATGTTCCAACAATGATCTGGAGTTGTTTTTGTTACCAACCCTTTTAATATCAGTAACCTTTCAAAATCCATAAATATGTATTTGTTTAGCACAATTCGTACACAAGGCAAACCCAAAGTGCTAAACAATACAAACAAAGCTTCCAAACCAATGAACGCATTAGAATAATAAAGGTGCTTACAAATACATGTACAATATAAAGCCATATTGCAATACAAATACTGTTATCGGCTTCTATATAGTAATTTTTTACTTTACTTACTTTCGGCCAAGTGTCAAAACAGGGCTGACGTGAACAGATAATTATTTCAGTGTTCGTGATGTTCGTGATGCTGGTGTAGAGTGGTGTACTAGTGAAGTTGGTGTGAACTGCAGCTTACAGGGTCTGAATGTTGAGGTGAATGGAGGTGTAGTGCAGAGGTTTAAGTGGGGCGCTGTATGTGGATCACAGGGATTCTTTTCAAGATCACAGGAATGCAGCATCCTGAGGCTGTGACGTCGCGCACACAGATTTTCAACTGATGCTTTTAATTTACTTTAGATGCAGTGCCTTGCGAAAGTATTCGGCCCCCTTGAACCTTTCAACATTTCGCCACATTTCAGGCTTCAAACATAAAAATATAAAAAAAAATGTTTGTCAAGAATCAACAAGTGGGACACAATCGTGAAGTGGAACGAAATGTATTAGATAATTCAAACTTTTTTAACCAATAAAAAACTGAAAAGTGGGGCGTGCAATATTATTCGGCCCCCTTGCGCTGATACTTTGTAGCGCCACCTTTTGCTGCAATTACAGCTGCAAGTTGCTTGGGGTATGTCTCTATCAGTTTTGCACATCGAGAGACTGGAATTCTTTCCCATTCTTCCATGCAAAACAGCTCGAGCTCAGTGAGGTTGGATGGAGAGCGTTTGTGAACAGCAGTCTTCAGCTCTTTCCACAGATTTTCGATTGGATTCAGGTCTGGACTTTGACATGGCCATTCTAACACCTGGATACGTCTATTTGTGAACCATTCTATTGTAGATTTGGCTTTATGTTTTGGATCATTGTCCTGTTGGAATATAAATCTCCGTCCCAGTCTCAGGTCTTTTGCAGACTCAAACAGGTTTTCTTCCAGAATGGTCCTGTATTTGGCTCCATCCATCTTCCCATCAATTTTAGCCATCTTCCCTGTCCCTGCTGAAGAAAAGCAGGCCCAAACCATGATGCTGCCACCATCATGTTTGACAGTGGGAATGGTGTGTTCAGGGTTATGAGCTGTGTTGCTTTGACGCCAAACATATCGTTTTGCATTGTGGCCAAAAAGTTTGATTTTGATTTCATCTGACCAGAGCACCTTCTTCCACATGTTTGGTGTGTCTCCCAGGTGGCTTGTGGCAAACTTTAAACAAGACTTTTTATGGATATCTTTGAGAAATGGCTTTCTTCTTGCCACTCTTCCATAAAGGCCAGATTTGTGCAGTGCACGACTGATTGTTGTCCTATAGACAGACTCCCCCACCTCAGCTGTAGTTATCTGCAGTTCATCCAGAGTGATCATGGGCCTCTTGGCTGCATCTCTGATCAGTCTTCTCCTTGTTTGAGATGAAAGTTTGGAGGGACGGCCGGGTCTTGGTATATTTGCAGTGGTCTGATACTCCTTTTATTTCAATATAATTGCTTGCACAGTGCTCCTTGAGATGTTTAAAGCTTGGGAAATCTTTTTGTATCCATTTCCGGCTTTAAACTTCTCCACAACAGTATCTCGGACCTGCCTGGTGTGTTTTCTTGTCTTCATGGTTCTCTCTGCGCTTTAAACAGAACCCTGAGACTAGGGCTGGGCGATTAATCGATTTTAATCATTAATTCGAGTTTTACGTTTAGGGCGATTTCTTTTTTTAAAAATTCGATTTTTATTTTCTCCATCGCAGAACTACAGCGCTAACGCGCTAACCGCGGGTCTATGGTGTTGAGCAGTCATTTTGAAGCTAACCTAATGCTAACAGTCTCCCTCTGGCCTGATGCTCGCTCTCACAGTTGGTGCTGTTGCAATAACACTTCAAACATTCAAGAATCAGACTTTATTTAAATCGCCAAAACACACACACACACGCACGCAAGCCCCGGTCGCCATGTTCGTACGCCACATCTTTCACGCTCTCTCACGCTCGTTATTCCAAAGCGCACTCCCGTGTCCGTGGCGCGCACACACTCGTGTCCCACTGAGCCGCTGCACTTTGGGGAAAGACACGTCTCACACATTGTTCTCATTGCTCTGATACAAACAACGTGTTCCCCGCTGTCTGTTAGCTACAGTAGCTGCTACAGTAGCTGTTAGCTACAGTAGCTGCTACAGTAGCTGCTACAGTAGCTGTTAGCTACAGCATCAGAATGTAAACAGGAAGCTCGCACAATGCGGGAGTCACTGAAGTTAGTATTAGCGCCACCAGCTGGACCGAGCGTTGTACTACAGCACAGTTACTCAGGCACAGTTGAAAGAACAAGCATGAAAACCCGAGGAGGCTTTTGGAAAAGACTGTTACAACATTTCTATTTTGAGTAATCAGTTTTAAAAATGTGATATTTCATGTAAATAATGCATGTGTTTAATAGGATTGATATATTTGCGATGGGCCTTGTTTGTGTGATTTAAGTTATTTTGAAGGTGCATAGTGTCATTGTAAGTGAAGTTATTATAAAACTGTTAAGCTACATTTTCACTGTTTACAATGGCAGAGCCATCTCGTTTACAAGCATGTTTTAAGGCTTAATTCCTGTTACACTTATGCTCCATGGGGATTTAGATTAAACTGCATAAAGGAAAATCTATTTCTTTGTCAGTTGTAGTTTGTTTTTAAATAGAAAAAAAATAAAATCGATTTAAAATCGAAAATCGGATTTGGTGTGAAAAAATCGGAGATTTTTTTTTTTTGCCATATCGCCCAGCCCTACCTGAGACTATCAAAGAGCAGGTGCATTTATACGGAGACTTGATTACACACAGGTGCATTCTATTTATCATCATCAGTCATTTAGGACAACATTGGATCATTCAAAGATCCTCACTGAACTTCTGGAGTCAGTTTGCTGCACTGAAAGTAAAGGGGCCGAATAATATTGCACGCCCCACTTTTCAGTTTATTTGTTAAAAAAGTTTAAATTATCCAATAAATTTTGTTCCACTTCACGATTGTGTCCCACTTGTTGTTGATTCATGACAAAAAATTAAAATGTTATATCTTTATGTTTGAAGCCTGAAATGTGGCGAAATGTTGAAAGGTTCAAGGGGACCGAAAACTTTCGCAAGGCACTGTATTAAAAGTCATACTGTAATTTCCTCTACATGTTCTGCAGCCAATACGAACATGAATAATGTATCATATTTATGTTGATACAGAAATCTAACTCGTCTACCACGACTTCGGACAAGATCACACGGCTGTACGAGCTGGGGCCGGAGCCGGAGCGCAAGATGTGGGTGGACCGCTTCCTGTCTTTCGTCGACGAGAAGTCCATGCCGATGACCAACCTGCCGGCAGTGGGTCGAAAGCCCCTGGACCTATTCAGGCTCTACATGTCAGTGAAGGAGATTGGGGGAATGGCCCAGGTGAGTATGGGGAAGGTCCTCTCCAAATCCTGGGTACTGCCTCCTCAGTCTCTCCCAGACTAGAGCACCTCCTCAGCCTCTCCCAGAGTAGAGCGCTCCTCAGCTCCTTAGCTTCTCCGTATTGTATCATCTGCATAGGGTATTGCTAGCCTATATTCGTCCCGAGCTTGGACAGGGTGTCACTCCAGCACTGCAGCTTAAATTTACTGTGGGCTGTATAGACTTTCTCCTTCAACCTCAATGTTAACTAAAACTTCTCGTCCCCAGCGTCCAAAGGTTTGTTTTTGTGGTAGATTTTAGTGTCCTTTGTCATTCTGAACTTTTTTCTTTTTAAATCATTTTTTTTCTTCTGTTGTGACTAAAAAAACACATACATTAGAAGTTTGTGTAAGCTCTAAGTCGTACAGGGATTAGTCAAAGCAAAGGAAGGTTTCTCACCCATCGTCTATACTTCTTAACAGGTTTTCCCGATGTTTCGTCCTTAATCCAAAGAACTTTTTCAAGGGAATGAAAAAGAGATTTATAACCTATCTAATCCTGAGGCTAATTTATAAACACATCTAAGGGGTTTGTGTGAGCTGTCATACCGGGATAAGTCAAAGCAAAGGAAGGTCTCTCACCCATCATCTGTACTTCTTAGCAGGTTTTCCCAATGTTTCGTCCTTAATCCAAAGAACTTTTTCAAGGGAATGAAATTTCAGACCGCACGTCGGAGATTTATAACCTATGGGTAATCCTGAGGCTAACTCGGGTGTGTTAAGATGTGGTAGGGAGCAGGTCTAACGACCCTGCTATGACAGGGTATCCTAACTCATTAGCATGAGCACAGACCTCTTGTCTGCTGAGATTGCTCGAGTGGAGTGCAGGTCTCACCACTCCTAACTCATTAGCATGAGCACAGACCTCTTGTCTGCTGAGATTGCTCGAGTGGAGTGCAGGTCTCACCACTCCTAACTCATTAGCATGTCAGGGACCTCATCTATAGTTAGGGCATTGTTTTTAGGACATCGTCATAGATGCAAGGCAACACAAATCTTAACCCGCCTTCGCTGTTAAAGTGATAGTCTGGAACTCTAAATGAATTACAAATTTTAAGATTGTATTAAATTGACCTCCTGACCTTAAATGTTGATATAAAATAAGTCATTTTATGAATTCTAATATTATAGGTAAGTTCCGCCTTCCCTTCTCTTAGCTATAGCTCAAAATCCACAATGCTGTCCACTTTAACCAATCAATTGATGCCAAGGGCTGTCAATCATTGGCGCTCATGCTCGTAGTTGCGCGCGTGCTCAGTTGTTTTTTAACGGAGACTCCGAATCAAGCCTTCACTAAGCTCTGGAACTACACAAAAACTGAACGAAGAATTCTTAACATCCGCGCTGAGTTACCCATTTTTATACTGAACATATATCTAGGGCTGGGCGATATGGCCGCAAACTTTATCACAAAATAAGTAATTCATATCGGTCGGTAACAATATATATTGATTGTTTTTTATTTATTTTTTATACGTAAATATATAAATTTGTCGTGTCAGCTAACACATGTTAGCAGCCTTGTTTACAGTCACGGGGGAATGAGGCTGGATCCAAATGTTCACAAGCAGTCTCCCCCATAGTTAGTCCTGGTTCAATCCTGGTTTAGTCCTGGTTTAGCTCCTGTTTTGGCTGTTTTCGAGTGTCTTGTGTCCCCGTGGCGGCTCCGGAAAGTTAATCTCTTGCTTTTGCCGAATGCATTGAGTCTCTGCATCTCCCGCGCCGCACATGCTGTGCACAACCATTGACACGGCACTGAAACACAATCTTTAGATCCATGGCTATTATAATAGATCCATGATCAATGGACGCTACGCATGGTGCGGTTGTTGTTTTTGCATTCCCAGAAAGTTTTGCGGTTTGTAGTCGGCTGTGATAGGTCGAGAAGTCTCTGCCTACATCCCCCGCCTACATCCCCCAGAATACCGCACGCTTCTGACTCGGCTTTACTTCCTGTGTTTCGTTCCTGTTTTTCTATTGATATCGAACACATGTCTATCGCAATATATATCGTTATCGTTTTATCGCCCAGCCCTACCTATATCCATAATCAAATCCTCTGCAGATGTGTCCTATAATGTTCAATTGACGATAATAGCTACTTCCAGGTTTACCGCGATCAACTGTCAATTCTGAAAACCTCCAGGCATGTTTATTGATGATGTATATGTTTGTGTTCTCCGATTAAATGTATTGATTGATTCGTCTACGCCTACGTGTCTGAGCACTGTGAGCAGGAGAGACAGAGGCGAAGCAGGCATGGAGGAATATAGTCAGGGTCAGGTGACGTTTGGAGGCAGTTTGAGCAGTAAATGTTTCTGGAGCTGACAAAGACCATGTGGAGGGTCAGAGCAGCAGTGCACCCCAATAAAAAGCCACAGAAAAGTGGACTATTGCTAAAATTCACTGAGTCCGCACCAGGAGCCAGCGGCAAAGTCCAGTTAGGGTCACAGCGCTCGCGGGACTAAACGGAACAACATTCTGTAGATGTAACCAAACAAACGCATGCATAAACGCTCATACCTGCGCACCCAAACCCACAAAGACACACAACAATATTCTATTGCACTTTTGGTATAAGTATATTGTCCGTTCACTTTGATTTGTCATTTATAGTGTTTATCATTGTAATTTTTCTCATCTCTGATTTACTGTTATTGAAATAAATATAGCGCCACCCAATGAATGAATACTAGCCATACTTTCTGGCATAGTTTGTCATTGGCTCTACTTTCAATATGTGAATTTTGAAGCTTTTTGGATGAGTACATTTTGAAATATTCGAGCAACACTTTGTGACAAACACATCATTTTCTCAGTTTTTTTCTAAGTCTGGTTCTTTTTTTCACACTCTCTTTTTGACTGGAGATTACAGGAAAACAAAACGTAAAGTAGTAGGAAAGTAGAGAGTCCAGTCTTTCAGACTCTGGTTTCATATATTTCATAGTCATGGTACACAATATTCTGTGAGTCTTGAAAATCAGTCAAGTCATCAAAAATGGCTGGCAGTCAATGAGTTAAGATATGGTAGGGAGCAGGTATAACGACCCTGCTATGGATAACGATCCTAAGTCATGTGCAATGCGCTCCCCAGTGTCTCCTATAGTGGCCAATCTGTATATGGAGAAACTGGAGAAACAATCCCTGGCTTCTTATCAAGGGACAACGCAAAGCCATTGGTTTCGATATGTAGACTATACATGATCCGCGTTTCCATTGCAGGAGTTCCTGGTAAAAGGAGCAGGGTGGAACTTTTACAGGAACTTTCCTCTCCCTCTGTCCTCTCAGTGCCCGTGTCTCCACTGCAGAGTAGGACCACCCGGCGACGTCGTATGAGTTTCGATTGCCGCATAAGCGAAACTCATTACGCCAAACCCGTTATTACAACTTATTCTTACAACAACTTATTCTTGTATAGCCCTAAGTCACAACAACAGTCATCTCAGAGGACTTAACAAAACCATTGAAATCACCAACAGTTCAGAAAATCAACAGTTAAGACACTAAATATGAATTGGTCCAAAGGGAGAGACTAATGTCCATGAATGTTCATAAATGTCCATACATGTTGTAGAAGTGTGTCCTGGATCATCACCACAGTCCTTCTAGTTGGACACTAACTGTCAAACAGACCCTCCTGCATCGGCAAGGAAAAACTCACAAAAACCCAGTGGGAAAAGAGTGAGAAACCTTGGAGATCCACATATTGAGAAAGGGAACCGCTCCTACATGGACGGATGGGCTAATGATCCAGGACCTAAGCTACAGAACGAGGACCAATGCCATGCAGCGGCCGCAGAGCGTGAACAGGTCCAGTGCAGGACTGAAGCGCTCCCAGGTGGGTTGGGCAGAAAGCACTGCCCCCTCCATCTGCACCGGGCAGAGTTTTTTTTTTTTTTTTTATACTCCTGCTTCAGTTTTTAAAAACGCTTCACTGCTTGTTTTGGAGTGTGATGAATCCTCAGTGCTTCGAGGTGAAGCTGATATGTCTTAATATAGCTTTTCATTTTGCTGCAATGCCTCAAACCCCATCTGAATCATCGTGCTGTTCGCTGTTTCAAGTGGTGTCTGCTAGACTAATGCTGCTAGGCTATGGCTGAATGCCGGTTGTTTTGCTGCTTTCTGCTGGCGTCTGAGCCTGCGTTAGCTTTGGCCGATCAGCGCCGGGTTAACCTAAAGTCCCACCAGGGCCCAACAGAGTACATACCATGGAGGATGGACTCCGTTGGGTCCTGTAAAAGTTCCTGTAAATGGCCTTGTGGTGAAAGTTCCTGCAGTGGAGACTCGCACCGACGGGGCTGGCCCTGGAAAATGATCCCAAAGTTCCTGCGGTAGAAACGCGGCTATGGGGTAAGTTAAAGAAGTGGAACCATATTCAGAACACATTAACTCTGTGGATCCTTCTATAAAATTCACTTGTGTGGATGCTAAGGAGAGTGTACCCTCCTTTCTGGATTGTAAGGTCATCATACTTGAGAACTGACAATTGCAGACAGAGGCCTTCAGAAAGTCCACTGACCTGTACTTGGCCTTTGATTCAAATCATCCGCTACAACACAAACTCTGGGTCATTAGAACGATCAAACACCAAGCCCACCAGGTCCCCACCTAGCCTGGCCTTAGCCATCCTTACACTCCGTTCAATCATCATTTCACTGCATGTAACGTCTGGGTCTGGTCCCTGTGTTAGCAATTACAATCGGTTGAATTTCGACCTACCATTCAGAGAGCGCGGAAGGCAGGTGTTGCAGTTAGTTGTGGGTGAACAGACAGGTTGTAGTTTGGTAGTGGCGAAAAATACGATAGTAAAGTAATCCGGTCTGGTTCTATCAAGCAATTGAAGCCGGAGCAAGGGTAATGTTTAGCAAATGTAATCGCTGGAAAGATTTGTGGTGCTACTCCCCACGGGCTCCGTTAGCGGCAAAGAAGATGGCTAGGCTAAATGCTAACAACAGACTCGGGCGCACTACTATACTCAGATCCAATCGTTTCAATCGGCAAAAAGAGTTAACCCCTCCCACCTGTAAACAGAGCTCAATGGAGCACGTCCAGACCTTAGTACGAAATGTCATTTGTACTATGGTGTGATACAACCAGGCTAGTTCCCCACAAGTTCGGAGGGAAAGGACAGAGAAACCAAATATGTTCAGAGAGCACTTTCCAGATGTGGCTACCCCAAGTCGTCTTTTACTAAAGCCCAAAGGACAAGAAATGTAGTGAAGAAGAGTGCACTGAACACTATATTGGAGAAACCAAACAAACTCTACAGAAACGACTTTACCAACAAATGGAGAACACTCTAGTGGGCCACAGTCGGCTGCACATCTCCCCTCAAGATCACCAACCACACCGTGAACGACACGGAGGTTAAAATTGTGGCTCGAGACAAAAATTTGTTTGAGAGAGGGGTGAAAGAAGCAATCTTTGTGAGGAAACACAAACCTTCTCTTAACAGAGGAGGTGGGTTAAGATTTGTTTTGCCTCGTATCTATGACAATGTCCTAAATACAATGCCCTAGCTATAGATAAGGTCAGTGACGTGCTAATGCGTTAGGAGTAGTGAGACCTGCACTCCACTCGAGCAATCTCAGCAATTGGTCTTTGACATGCTAATGAGTTAGGATCGTTAGCCATAGCAGGGTCGTTAGACCTGCTCCCTACTACATCTTAACTCACCTTAGATGTGTTTGAGTTAGCCTCAGGATTAGGGTGTGGCTAACCACACACATAGGTTATAAATCTCCAACTCGTGGTCTGAGATTATTCATTCCCCTTGAAAATGTTCTTTGGAATAAGGACGAAACGTTGTGAAAACCTGCTAAGAAGTACAGATTAGAGCCCTGCACGGGCCTATTATCTGGGCCCGAGCCCGGCCCGAGCCCGGCCCGAGCCCGGCCCTGGCCCGAGGGGGTAGCGCCCCAGCCCGGCCCGGCCCGATATGGTTTCTCAGTTTTCAGGCCCGAAACCCGCATCAAGCCCGCCTCTTTTTTTTTTTTTTGTAACCTCCCATAACAATGTTTTAGCGTAGTATATAGTGCCGCGCACTGATATGAACGCAGACTTAGCTAGAGGGCGGAGTTATACATGGTAGTTATGTGTTGCAATGAGTTCTGTGTGTGCGGAGTGGTGCAGAGTGAACGGCCGCATCTGTATGATGCCTAGATGCTGCAACACACCTGTAAGTAATGCTATGTGCCGTCAATGACAACACTACACAGAACAACAAACACTACAGCGTGATAGAACGCTATATTCAGTGGGTGCGTTGGTAAATGTATTCTGCCGCTCTAAAAATGAAGAGCCCGAGCCCGGCCCGTGTCCGAGTTCATTATGCGGTCATCGGCCCGAAGCCCGGCCCTCGGGCTGTCGGGCCGTCGGGGCCCTCGGGCCAAGGGCTCAAGTGCAGGGCTCTAGTACAGATGATGGGCGAGAAACCTTCTTCTCTAAAAAGTATTTAGTCAGCCACCGATTTTGCAAGTTCTCCCACTTAAAATAATGAGAGGTCTGTAATTTTCATCATAGGTGCACTTCAACTGTGAGAGAAAGAATGTGAAAAAGAAATCCAGGAATTCACATTGTATGATTTTTAAAGAATTTATTTGTAAATTATGGTGGAAAATTTGTATTTGGTCACTTCAAACAAGGAAGAAATCTGGCTCTCACAGACCTGTAACTTCTTCTTTAAGGCGCTCTTCTGTCCTCCACTCGTTACCTGTATTAATGGCACTTGTTTGAACTCGTTATCTGTATAAAAGACATCTGTCCACAGCCTCAAATAGTCAGACTCCAAACTCCACTATGACCAAGACCAAAGAGCTGTCGAAGGACACCAGGAAAAGAATTGTAGACCTGCACCAGACTGGGAAGAGTGAATCTACAATAGGCAAGCAGCTTGGTGTGAACAAATCAACTTTGGGAGCAATTATCAGAAAATGGAAGACATACAAGACCACTGATAATCTCCCTCGATCTGGGGCTCCACACAAGATCTCATGCCGTGGGGTCAAAATGATCATGAGAACGGAGATCAAAAATCCCAGAACCACACGGGGGGACTTGGTGAATGACCTGCAGAGAGCTGGGACCAAAGTAACAAAGGTTACCATCAGTAACACACTACGACGACAAGGAATCAAATCCTGCAGTGCCAGACGTGTCCCCCTGCTGAAGCCAGTGCATGTCCAGGCCTGTCTGAAGTTTGCCAGAGAGCACATGGATGATACAGCAGAGGATTGGGAGAATGTCATGTGGTCAGATGAAACCAAAGTAGAACTGTTAGGTATAAACTCGACTCGTTGTGTTTGGAGGAAGAAGAATACAGAGTTGCATCCCAAGAACACCATACCTACTGTGAAGCATGGGGGTGGAAACGTTATGGTTCGGGGCTGTTTTTCTGCTAAGGGGACAGGATGACTGATCCGTGTTAAGGAAAGAATGAATGGGGCCATGTATCGTGAGATTTTGAGCCAAAACCTCCTTCCATCAGTGAGAGCTTTGAAGATGAAACATGGCTGGGTCTTCCAGCATGACAATGATCCCAAACACACCGCTCGGGCAACGAAGGAGTGGCTCCGTAAGAAGCATTTGAAAGTCCTGGAGAGGCCTAGCCAGTCTCCAGACCTCAACCCCATTGAAAATCTGTGGAGGGAGTTTTGGAGGAATGGGCCAAAATACCAGTTACTGTGTGTGCAAACCTGGTAAAGACCGATAGTAATCGTTTGACCTCTGCTATTGCCAACAAAGGTTTTATTACAAAGTATTGAGTTGAATTTTTGTTATTGACCAAATACTTCCACCATAATTTACAAATACATTCTTTAATAATCCTACAATGTGAATTCCTGGATATTTTTTCTCACATTCTGTCTCTCACAGTTGAAGTGCTCCTATGATGAAAATTGCAGACCTCTGTCATTATTTTTAGTGAGAGAACTTGCACTATCGGAGATAGAACTCAAATGTAAAGACCGAACCACTTTTTTAAGAACTTATTTTTTAGTTTCTTTTTATTCCCATTAATATCCAATAATTCTGATTGGATTTTACATTTTTCAGTTTGAACATTTCTGTAGTCCTTTTCTTGAAATTTTAACGTGACCTTTGATTGTTTCCCTTCATTCAGGTCAGCAAGAATAAGAAGTGGCGAGATCTGGCCACCTCACTCAATGTGGGCACATCCAGCAGCGCAGCGAGTTCCCTCAAAAAGCAGTACATCCAGTGTCTCTATGCCTTCGAATGTAAGATCGAGCGGGGAGAAGACCCGCCTCCAGAGATAATCGACAACAAGAAGAACACTGCCCCGAAAGTGCAGCCCCCGTCCCCAGGTATGAGACGGGACGGGAGACTGGGCCATAGTGCAATCATTAATTTATGCTCAGGTCATTGAAAAGCTTTTTTTTTACCTATGATTATTTAAAAAAATAAGTTACTTTTGACTTTATGCAAACATCAAAAATACAGTGCATCCGGAAAGTATTCACAGCGCTTCACTTTTTCCTCATTTTGTTATGTTACAGCCTTTTTCCAAAATTGATTCAATTAACTTTTTTTCCTCACAGTTCTACACACAACACCCCATAATGACGACATGAAAAGAGTTTTTGAGATTCTTGCAAATTTATTAGAAATAAAAAAACTAAGAAACCACAGCCTTTCCTACTACTTTGTTGATGCACCTTTGGCAGCAATTACAGCCTCAAGTCTTTTTGACTATGATGCCGCGAGCCTGGCACACCTGTCTTTGGGCAGTTTTGCCCATTCCTCTTTGCAGCACCTTTCAAGCTCCATCAAGTTGGATGGGGAGTGTCGGTGCACAGCCATTTTCAGATCTCTCCAGAGGTGTTCAATTGAATTCAAGTCTGGGCTCTGGCTGGGCCACTCAAGGACATTCACAGAGTTGTCCTGAAGCCACTTCTTTGTTATCTTGGCTATGTGCTTAGGGTCGTTGTCCTGCTGAAAGATGAACAGTCGCCCCAGTCTGAGGTCAAAAGCGCTCTGGAGCAAGTTTTCATCCAGGATGTCTCTGTACATTGCTGCATTCATCTTTCCCTCTTTTTTCAGCGGCCAGTTCCTGCCGCTGAAAAACATCCCCACAGCATGATGCTACCACCACCATACTTCACTGTAGGGATGGTATTGGCTTGGTGATGAGCATTGCCTGGTTTCCTCCAAACATAACATCTGGCATTCATGCCAAAGAGTTCAATCTTTGTCTCATCAGACCAGAGAATTTTTTCACTCATGGTCTGAGAGTCCTTCAGGTGCCTTTTGGCAAACTCCAAATTAAGGAGCGGCTTCTGTCTGGCCACTCAAACATACAGGTCTGATTTGTGGATTGCTGCAGAGATGGTTGTCCTTCTGGAAGGTTCTCCTCTCTCTACAGAGGAACGCTGGAGCTCTGACAAAGTGACCATCGGGTTCTAAGTCACCTCCCTGAGTAAGGCCCTTCTCCCCCGATCGCTCAGTTTAGATGTCTTGCCAGCTCTAGGAAGAGTCCTGGTGGTTCCAAACTTCTTCCATTTACAGAAGATGGAGGCCACTGTGCTCATTGGGACCTTTCCTAGACTTGTGCCTCGAGACAATCCTGTTTCGGAGGTCTACAGACAATTTCTTTGACTTCATGCTTTGTTTGTGCTCACACCAACCCTGAGGTGTGACCCTGGACGACTGATGTATGTGAACTATGTCCATCCATCCATTCATTTTCTTCCCCTTAATCCATTTCTGGGTCGGGGGGGTGGCCAGAGATGCCACCCAGTACACAGAGCACCAGCCCCTCACTGATCCTCCTGCAGGTGGTGAGTCCACAGGAGCTGAGATCTTTCAGTGGGGGCTTCAGGCAAAGTGGGGTTAAGTGTCTTGCCCAGGGACACAACGACAGCAGTCATCAGTGGGAGTCGTGAAGTAGGTCTTGCAGTGGGCTCGAACCCACAACCTTCAGGCTCAAAGGCCAATGCTCTACCAACTGAGCTACTGTCTCATGAACTATGTATGATGAGAAACGTACTGAATGTGTTAATGTATCATCTGAATGTGTGGTTGTGACATGTGACATGTGTATATGTGTGATGCTGTGAATGAAGTGTGGTTTAAACAAACAGGTATAAGGCTAAATGTGTGTGTCTGTATCAGAGAGAGTGCATTGTATTGCGATGTTATTTTTTTTGTACATTGTACATTACTGTGTCCATGTATTTTATTCATGTAACCAGAGACTGCAGATGGAAACTAGCTGTTTAGCTATAATCTGGTGCAGAACATATCTGTCTTTGAGCTTAATGTCTCTGTACATTGTCCCTTCAAATAAAGACTAAACTAAACATGCACTGTCAACTGTGGGACCTTATATATAGTGGGGCAAAAAAGTATTTAGTCAGCCACTGCTTGTGCAAGTTCTCCCACTTAAAATAATGAGGTTTGTAATTTTCATCATAGGTACACTTCAACTGTGAGAGACAGAATGTGAAAAAAAATCCAGGAATTCACATTGTAGGATTTTTAAATAATTTATTTGTAAATTATGGTGGAAAATAAGTATTTGGTCAATAACAAATTCAACTCAATACTTTGTAATATAACCTTTGTTGGCAATAACAGCGGTCAAACGATTACTTTAGGTCTTTACCAGGTTTGCACACACAGTAGCTGGTATTTTGGCCCATTCCTCCATGCAGATCTTCGAGAGCAGTGATGTTTTGGGGCTGTCGCCGAGCAACACAGACTTTCAACTCCCTCCACAGATTTTCAATGGGGGTGAGGTCTGGAGACTGGCTAGGCCACTCCAGGACTTTCAAATGCTTCTTACGGAGCCACTCCTTCATTGCCCGGGAGCCCCAGATCGAGGGAGATTATCAGTGGTCTTGTAAATAAAATAAAATAAATTGATTTGTATGTCTTCCATTTTTGATAACTGCTCCCACAGTTGATTTGTTCACACCAAGCTGCTTGCCTATTGTAGATTCACTCTTCCCAGTCTGGTGCAGGTCTACAATTCTTTTCCTGGTGTCCTTCGACAGCTCTTTGGTCTTGGTCATAGTGGAGTTTGGAGTCTGACTGTTTGAGGCTGTGGACAGGTGTCTTTTATACAGATAACGAGTTCAAACAAGTTCCATTAATACAGGTAACGAGTGGAGGACAGAAGAGCGTCTTAAAGAAGAAGTTACAGGTCTGTGAGAGCCAGAGATCTTCCTTGTTTGAAGTGACCAAATACAAATTTTCCACCATAATTTACAAATAAATTCTTTAAAAATCCTGCAATGTGAATTCCTGGATTTTTTTTTTCACATTGTCTTTCACAGTTGAAGTGTACCTATGATGAAAATTACAGACCTCTGTCATTATTTTAAGTGGGAGAACTTGCACAATTAGTGGCTGACTTTTTTGGCCCACTGTATACAGGTGTGTGCCTTTCCAAGTCAAATCAACTGAATTTACCACAGGTGGACTCAAATTAAGCAGTAAAAGCATCTCAAGGATGATCCGTGGAAACAGGATGCACCTGAGCTCAATTTTGAGCTTCATGGCAAAGGCTGTGAATACCTATGTACTTGTGTTTTCTTAGTTTTTTTTATTTTTAATAAATTTGCAAGCATCTCAAAAAAAAAAAAAAAAAGGTCGTCATTATGGGGTGTTGTGTATAGAATTTTGAGGAAAAAAATTAATTGAATCCATTTTGGAATAAGGCTGTAACCTAACAAAGTGAAGCGCTGTGAATACTTTCCGGATGCACTGTACATTTCCATTAAACTAGAGAAAATGTAAGCACAAGTGCACATCTGATGGAACCTCGCTCCAGTGTAGAAAAGGTACATTCCTCATATGATTTAACTATTTTTAATTTTGCCGTTAAAACTGTAACATTTAAAGGGGTTTGAAAAAGCATATGAATGGATGCAATAAGACCAGCTGATATTATCCCAAAATGTCAAAGGCCCAATGAGATCATATAACCGATACTACAGATGAATGATTTTTACCAGGCCTCATGAAAAGCTTCATGAGAAGGTCTTGAGCTTCATGAAAAAGTCTTAAACATATGTGGAGGTAGATATTCATTCTCATGTGGCTTGACTTGTGTTTATTGTGCCAAACTAAAGTGTCATGCTCTTCTGCCCCCTGTCTGTGTGGAACTGAAGCATCGCTCTGCTCCACAGCTGGGTCTGGCTCTCTGCAGGGGCCCCAAACGCCCCAGTCCACCAGCAGCTCCATGGCAGAAGGGGGGGACTTGAAGCCACCCACCCCAGCTTCCACTCCTCACGCCCAGATGCCCCCGGGGCCCAGGTGGGTCAATACAGGACAGCATGAGTGTCTACGGGTTTGTTGCCATAATATCGACTTCCTGTGAATCCAGGAACCTTTTTGTTTTTTGCACAGTAACCTTATCAACCTATATGAACAGTAATACTTAACGATTTGTCAGTAGTTAGTTAGATGGCAATTGATGGGAGGTTGCCATCAATTCACCACACACAGAAGTGCATCATGGCTCTAAATATTATTTGAACCCTCTGGAACTCACTCCCACTGCCCATTAGAAACTCCAAACTTTAAATCAGTACTCAAAACCCATCTGTTCAAAAAATCTTTTCCGTAAACCCCCTTTAAAAAAAAGTATTCCTCATCTGAAGGGTCTTTGAGTGTCAAAAAAAGCACTATACCAGTTTTGTTTGTTTTTAAAAAAAAATACATTTTTCATTTATCTGAACCTACCTGCACTCAAAAAATTAGATATATCATTTCTCATTCTCTTAAGAAGATAACTACATTTAATTTGAAACATTGAACCCAGAACACACCCATGTTTTTCCTGTTCATAACAGGGGCTAGGGGTAGATGACATAAATGTCCACAAGATTGATCAGTGCAAATAGATTGTGTATTGTAAGACACTTGAATAAAGGAAATGTGTGTTTTGTTTTGTGTTAAGGAGCAGTGTGAACCTCCAGGATCCATTCTCGGACAGCAGTGACCCGTCCTTCCCGCGGCGGAACCTAACTCCAAACTCTGTCTATCCGTCTGGGATGGGGAATCCAGACATGCAGGGGCGTATTGGGCCTTATGAGCCTAACAAGGACCCCTTCACGAGCATGCGAAAAGGTGAACTTTGATATTCAGAATTGTGAATAGAGTAATCTAAAGCCTAGTGTATACTTGCGCGGCGTGGCTTACGTTAGCGGTTGCGGTTGCCCTACGTAAGCACAATTGATGTTATACTGGCGCGTTCCCCTTACAAAGTTTTGAGGAGAATGTTGTAATCCCACAACAAACCACATGAGGGCGATCACACCGGAGCGGTCCCATTTACGCTGCTACTTTGTCCTCTTCAGAACAACAATAGCAAACAAAGCTGTTTGAGCTCATTACACGTGTTTCTACTGTAGGTTTATGTGATAGTTTTATGGATTCATTATTTTATAAGTCATTTCAACTGTGATGCTGTGAATAAAGACACAGTTCTTGTTGGAAACATAGTTATTATTAAATAGTTTTCAGCACAAACAGCAAAACAATAATAGTGGTAAATATCTGAGACAAACCTGAACGATTCACGAGTGCAAGAGGAAAGCAACAAACGCAGCTACGATTCAAACAAGACAGGAACAGTGCAAAACAAACGACTGCACAGTTTATATGTTATATATATGTTAGATAGTCCACAGTCTCCTGTATATCAGGCTCTGAGTCCAAACTGCTTTTCCTTCGAAGCACAAAGCTCTCTGCTCCATAGTGCCTCGTCCATTGTCCCAGCTGCAGCCGCTCCGTGCTTCCTTCCAATACACACATACGGACCAATCACAGATGAGATTCCTTGCGGCGACCCTTACGTAGTTAGAAAATTTCGATGCTGCGCGGCAGGCTATGTAAGGGCCTTGCGGTGACCAACGCGTTGCGCAAGTGACGTCACGTCACCTCCGTAAGCTCCGCGCGAGTATAAACTAGGCTTAAGATATAAACTAGGCTTAAGATATAAACTAGGCTTAAGATATAAACTAGGCTTAAGATATAAACTATAAACCAGATCAAAAAAAGTGCTTTTGGACAATTCATTGGTCAATTGTAAAATGTAAGCAGAGGATTATGTTTTGAATCTGTTTGATGCAGTGGGTGACCAGTTTCTCCCAGCGAGTCAAGGCCCCAACAGTGACTCTCCGCAGCAGGCTCCATATAGGGGGCCATCCGGGGCCATGGGACCCAGGCCTCAGTACCCGTATGGACCAGCCTACGACCGGAGGTGAGAGTCTGCGCACCTTTTGACAGACGCACAATTGCTTACATGAGGTTTTCTCTTAAATCAAAACTCGTATGTCGCAGGTCTGAGGCTGGCATGGGCACAGAGGGAAACATGGGCCCCGCTGCTCCCGCGTCCGGCTCCTTGATGCCGGCCAACGCCGACACAGGGATGTACTCTCCAAACCGTTTTCCTCCACAGCAGCCACGGTGTGTAATCAACCACTTTTACTGCTACCCATTAACTGCAAATTAAGAGGAATTGTTGGTCTGAGTTATTTTTGAATACCTCTCTTATTTGAGTAAAAATCTGTTAGTCTACATTAGTCTTGCTGGCCAGTGCATTATAGTTGCAATAATGGAAGTTGTTTGCAGGCATGATTCCTATGGAAATCAGTATGCTGGACAGGGAACGCCCCCTGCTGGGTCCTACCCCAATCAGCAGCCAGGAATGTACCCACAGCAACAGGTGACAACTGTTACTACTCTGTTGTGAACTTGTATCACATGGCCCTAAATGTTGTAATTTTGTGCAGAGTTACAAGCGTCCTGGTGAAGGCAGTTATCCTCCAGCGAAGCGTCATGAAGGGGACTACAGCAGCCCCTACCCTAGTGGTCAGCAGCCTCAGCAACTCCCCTCAGGTTCAGCGCCCTCTTCAGGACAGTCAGAGCCTTACAGTCAGTATGCAGGCACGGGGCCATACCCAGAAAGACGTCCGCCTGGCTCGGGGAACCAGTTCCCTTTCCAATATGGCCGGGAACGCATGCCGGGACCCAACACTCAGACCAGCATGCCTCCCATGATGCAGCCGGGACCTGAAGGCTCCATGTGGCAGGGCCGGGACATGAACTACCAGAACTATCCAAACCGACAGGGCCCCACAGGCCCCCCATCTGGACCCTATCCCGGGATGAACCGGTCAGAGGATATGATGGCAGAGCAGAGAATGAACCATGAGGGCCAATGGGGCCCTCGGCAACCTCCCTTTGGCCCTGCAGGGCCAGGGCAGCCCCTGTCCCGCACTGTACCGCCGGGATACCAGCCTCAAGCTGTGCAGAACCACATTCCACAGGTGCCCAGTCCATCTATCCCCCGCAGCATGGATAGTGGACTTTCGCCCAGTAAAGGTCACTTTATGCATGGAATGAAGATGCAGAAAGCAGGCCCCCCTGTCCCCGCGTCCCACATTGTGCCCACTTCAGTGCACTCGCCTTTAATCAGGAGAGACATGCCTTTCCCTCCAGGCTCTGTGGAAGCCTCACAGCCTGTCCTCAAACCTCGCCGAAGACTCACTATGAAAGACATCGGTCAGTCTGCTTGTTTCATGCATTATGTACCAAATCATTGGTTCCAAATGTTCTAAGTTTGTCTTCATATTGTAGGAACTCCAGAAGCATGGAAAGTGATGATGTCTCTCAAGTCGGGTCTGCTAGCAGAGAGTACATGGGCCTTGGATACCATCAATATCCTCTTGTTTGATGACGGAAGTATTACTACTTTTGATCTCAATACTGTAAGGAGGGTTTTCTCACTAAATTAAACTATACACTTTATTTGTGTTTTAATGGTGTTTTTTTTCCCTCAGTTGCCTGGTCTTCTCGAGCTTGTTGTTGAGTATTTCCGACGCTGCCTCATCGAAATCTTTGGCATACTGAGAGAGTATGAGGTGGGCGATCCTGGGCAGAGGACATTGCTCAATCCTGATGCTTTGAAAGAAGATTTTGGCGATGCAGGTGTGGCCGTCCAGCCAGAGGACATGGAGAATGATGAGGAGGAAGAAGAGGAGGAGGAGGAGGAGGAGGATGACAAAATGGAACCGGCAACGCTGCAACCAGTTTGTGTGAAGGAGGAAGAAAAGCAGCAATGCCTTCAGTATCTCGGCCAACTACCAAAACCTGAAAATTATGAAACTAAAGCAAAGCAAAGCTTGGATAATTCTTCTTTTGAAAGTGCAAGACCCAAACAGGCCAGCAAGTTTGATAAATTCCCTCTAAAAGTGGTACGAAAGAAAGAACCTTTTGCGGCTGCCCAGCCCAATAACCATGGCAAAGTGCAGGAGTTTGACAGTGGCTTGGTTCATTGGAGTGCGGGAGGCGGAGACTCAACGGAGCACATCCAGACCCACTTTGAACCTCAAAGAGATTTCCTGGAGCCACGACAACGAATACCTGTGCCTCAAAGCCTATTCAAGAGGCAGGCCACAGAAGAAGAGCTTCAAGAAAACTGTCTAACAGATGTCGTGGCAAAGGATGAGGAGCAGAGTTATTTGGCCACAGAGAGTGCTGAGAACAATATGGATAAAACCCCATCTCCTAATGTCAAAAACTCTGATTCTGAAATGCCTGGTCTTGAGAATCATGAAGGTCAGCTAGAAAATTACATGTGTAGATCTGTCCTGCTAACAACAAAACAGTCAGGCACCATCTTGGAAGACGAGCCTCACAGTAAAGATGAAGGCCCACTCATCACCATCACGAACTGGCAAGAGTCTTTGGCGAGACGATGTGTTTGTATTTCAAATATAATTCGAAGCCTTTCGTTTGTTCCAGGCAATGACCACGAAATGTCGAGGCACCCAGGACTGCTGCTAATGTTGGGCCGTCTGATCCTGCTTCATCACAGACATCCTGAGCGTAAACAGGCCCCGCTTACGTATGAAAAAGAGGAGGATTCGGAGGAGAAAACAGGCCAAAGGGACGAGTGGTGGTGGGACTGTTTGTCACTGCTCAGAGAGAACACGTTGGTCACTCTGGCAAACATCTCTGGTCAGTTAGATCTGTCTGTATACTCTGAGAGCATCTGTTTGCCTCTGCTGGATGGCCTTCTTCACTGGGCTGTGTGCCCCTCAGCTGAGGCCCTGGACCCATTCCCCACATTAGGCCCTCATAGTGGTTTGTCACCTCAGAGATTAGTTCTGGAGACGCTAAGCAAACTCAGCATTCAAGACAATAATGTGGACCTCATCCTGGCCACGCCACCCTTCAGTCGCTTAGAGAAGCTGTTCGGTAACTTGGTCCGTTTAATAGGTGACCGGAAAGTGGCTGTATGCAGAGAGATGGCAGTAGTTCTTTTGGCAAACCTGGCCCAAGGTGATACTATTGCAGCGAGAGCGATTGCTGTGCAAAAAGGCAGTGTGGGAAACCTGTTGGGTTTCCTTGAGGACAGTTTAGCAGCCACACAGCTGCAGCAGAGCCAGAGCTCCATACTTCACCTGCAGGGAATGCACTTCGAGCCCACGAGCCCGGACATGATGCGGCGGGCGGCTCGAGCTCTGCATGCCTTAGCCAAAGTGGAGGAGAACCACTCAGAGTTCACACTACATGAGTCCCGGCTTCTGGACCTGTCTGTCTCTCCCCTCCTGAACTCGCTGGTTTCTAATGTTATCTGTGATGTACTATTTTTGATTGGCCAGTCATGACAGCTGTAGGGAGCTGTGGCTCCTACAGGCATTTTCCTTGCCCTTCTTTCCTTCTAAGCTGATGACAAGCAACAGGGCAAAGAGAGTGACTGTTTTAATTTATCAAGGACAAGAGACCCCCAGATGAAAGTCTCCACAGAATGAACAAACTGGTTATTGACTTACTCAGTGACACTTCTTGCAATGCGTTCAACTGGATGACACTGCAAAGTGCTAGTTTGGAGATTGCTCTGCACTTGGGGGATAAAAGTACTTTTATAACAGATAAATAAATGAATTAATAAATAAATAGCTGAAAAACAAAAACTGTAACCAAAGTTGCTGTCTCGTTTACAGTGAGTTTGGGAGAGCCACTGTGCCCTAATGGTCCTTTCAAGGGTTGTGTTGTGTTCGGCGGTGAAGATGTGAAACCGACAGTTGAATCACTTCAGTTTGTGATATCACCAGTTGGCTCTGTAGGGAGGCTGTGCAGTAGATGGTAGGACATTTCTGTAACTCATTGCACTGACCCAGCTTAGTTTGGTGTTGAACAGAATATGGTTTTCTACCCCAAAGTATGAAGAACCAACAACACCCTGACCTCCTCGTATCCCTTGATTGTATGAATACCCTTATGAAAGAAATCACCCTCTAGTATTGGTTTTCAACTTCAAATACAGCATTGCTGTGGTGTGTGTATATATATAATATATATATATATATTTTAAATATATTAATATATATATATATATTTAAATATATTAATATATATATTAATATATTAATATATATATATATATAATGATGTTGTACAATACATTTCTTTTGTGTCTGTCTCCGTCACTATTCTCACTCTGGTTTTGGTGAGGGATAAAGACAGGCTTTGGTCCATGGCCTGATTAGACTTGCAGACTCTTCACAGCACTGAAGTACAGCAGACACGACTCAAAACTGTACAACAATAAATTAGACACGTTTGACAAACGTCTTCAATCATGGATTGCATATTGTATCCGCTACATAGTTTAAAATAGTCATACAGATTACTCTCCTTTTGGCTCAATGAGTATCATTTATTCAGTATGAAATCTTTATACTATATGTTCCACGTGGTAAAATAAATGTACATTAAATCTTCGTAAGCGGCTTGATGTTTGTGTGATTTTAAAAGGAGTGAGCGCGTGAGAATACTGAAGAAAAATAAGCCTTAAAAAAATTAATGAATCCTGTACCTGAGTGCCATCTCGGACGCTTTGGACACGGTGATTTTATTTTGAAAGGGTCCCCGCATTGATACCGGAAGCGAAAGTCCTACATCTGCATTGAAACGGCTGACTCCATTGCGTCCGCATTGTTTTGTTTTCTTTCACGCGACACACGTAAACTATATGGCTGTCAGGCGTGCATCCGCGAAGTCTTGCCGGGATGTGCCCTGGTCACCTTCCAATCAATGATCATTGACCCCCAGGAGGCTCGCAGAGGCCCACACAGGAGCCACTGACCCGAAGGAGACATGGATGTGAAATGCGTGCTTCAGTTTGCCGCAAAAACTAGATGTGTTGCGCTCATTCTGCAGGTAAACTTATAGCACTTCTTATATATTACTTTCTTGGACAATAGACCCTTCACATGTCATTATTTCATTCCATACACGATGGCACTGGTGACGATGGAGTACCCACAGCTGCACTGGGGCACACTTGCATCCACCAGTGTGTGCCAGCGCCCCTCCGCCAACCAGTCACTAACATACCAGACTCATTCTAGGAAATGTGATTGAAGTGTTTGCCCAAGGACACAACGACAGTTTGGCACTTTACAGTCGCAGACCCAGGGGTCTTTCATCACAGTATTCTAATCATTTGTATATAGCCTAAATCACTAGTTATCTCGTAGGACTTAAAAAAACCTGTCGATTCAAACACACTAAATGCAAAGGTGAACCAATGGCTCTATGTGTGCTATATGGGTGCTATAACACCATATAGCACCCATATAGGGCCCTTGGTTCACCAGGCGGCACAGTCGTGCAGTGGTTAGGCTTGTGCCTCACAGCAAGAAGATCCTGGGTTTGATTCCACTCCCAGACCTTACTGCGTGGAGTTGCGTGTTCTCTCTGTCTGCGTAGGTTTCCTCCGGTTTCTCCGGTTTCCCCTGCCACTGCAAATACAGAAGGTGCATGACCGAGGTGAAGTTAGCCGAACGTTTGACATTCGCCTGATATTCGAACAAAATCCCCCTGGATTCAAAGTCTGTCCGTATTTTCAGTTTAGTGAAGAGTGTAGTATTAAATGCTGTTAACAATGTTGCCACCTATATAAAAAAAACTTTACTTAGGCTGAAGCTGACGATTTATAACACGAAAAACAATGAAGATGAAGTCTCCGCTCGTACGTGTGATAAGCTCTCAGCAAGGGACCGTCTGCAAAGTGCAAGATTTGACAGAACGTTGCAGATGGGTTGGTGAATACAATAAAAACTGCTTTTAAAAAGTAGTTTTTCCCAGTTTTGATGGGTGTAATAGCTCCATTTGAACAATAGCTAGCTACTACAGGCAAGAATTTGGGAAAAATATTGTTTTCCCCTTCACAGCAACAAAAAGGAAATTGGAAAAATTAACTAAAAATCAACAAAGACTTTTTTTCCCAGATTTGATGGGTGTAGTAGCTCCCAATGAACAATAGCTAGCTACTACAGGCAAGAATTTGGGGAAACAAATGTTTTCCCCTTCACAGTAGGAATAATGATATTGTCTATTTTTCTAACAACCACCCATGGATGACCTCTGAGCTTAAGGCCCTCCTGAACCTCAAGAAAAGGGCTTTCATCTCAGAGGACAAAGAGTAGCAGAAGAGGATCCAGCACGACCTCCAGTGGAGGATCAGGAGGGCCAAGAGGGAATATGGGAAAAAGCTGGAGCAGAAGCTGGCCCAGGGAAACGCCCGTGACGTGTGGAGAGGCCTAAAGAACATCTCTTTCTGTGGACAAAGGGCCAGCGGGACAGATGAATTTAACCAATTCTTCAACCGGTTTGATTCTCCCCCCTCTCCATCTGCCCCCCCTCCCGCCCCCACCTCTTCACACGTCCCCAGCCCAGTGGACACCGCCCAGTGGACACTGCCTTTGGCTGCCCTGGATACTGCCTTTGGCTGCCCTGGGCCCTGCTGCCCCCACATCCCCGCCCCCCACCTCTGACAATACACCCCAGTCTTCCCCCCTCTCCATCACACCGGACCCGGTGAAGAGTCGGCTCCAGCGACTGAAGCAGAGGAAATCCGCAAGACCGGACGGGATCAGTCCCAGGCTGCTGAGGACCTGCGCAGACCAGCTCTCTGGGGTCCTCAGCTACATGTACAACCTGAGCCTCAGCCTGGAGAAGGTCCCTGTCCTGTGGAAGACCTCCTGTGTGATCCCGGTTCCTAAAACACCGCACGCCAAGGAACCGGCTCACTACAGACCAGTCGCACTGACCTCCCACCTGATGAAGACCATGGAGCGGCTCATCCTCACCCATCTCCGCTCCGTGGTCAGCCCCACCCTGGACCCGCGGCAGTTCGCCTACAGGCCCAACATCGGAGTAGAGGACGCCGTCATCTACTTCCTGCAGCGGACGCTCTCCCACCTGTAGCCTGCCGGGAGCGCTGTGAGGGTCACGTTCTTTGACTTCTCCAGTGCTTTCAACACCATCAGACCGGCACTGCTGCGGGGGAAGATGGAGGACGCGGGAGTGGACAGTAGCCTCACTGCATGGACCATCAACTACCTCACTGCATGGACCATCAACTACCTCTTGGACCGACCACAGTACGTGCGGCTGCGCAGCTGTGAGTCTGAGGTGGTAGTCTGCAGCACTGGGGCCCCTCAGGGCACTGTCCTCTCACCGTTTCTCTTCACCATCTACACTTCAGACTTCACACACGACACACACAGCTGTCACCTGCAGAAGTCCTCCGACGACTCCGCCATCGTGGGCTGTGTGTCTGAGGGGAACGATCTGGAATATTGGTCGGTTATCAAGGACTTTGTCGACTGGTGTGAGTGCAACCACTTGTGCTTGAACACCAGTAAGACCAAGGAGATGGTGATCGATTTCAGGAGGAAACCACTTTCCCACACGCTGCTGAACATCCAGGGGGGAGGACATTGAGCTGGTGGACAGCTTCAAGTACCTGGGTGTTCACATTAACAATAAACTGGACTGGTCCCATAATAAAAACGCCCTGCACAAGAAGGGCCAAAGTCGCCTCTTTCTTCTGAGGAGGCTGAGGTCCTTCGGAGTGAGCAGGCCTCTGCTTAGGACCTTTTATGACTCTGTGGTAGCATCTGCCATTTACTACGCTGCCGTGTGCTGGGCCCCGGGCAGCACAGAGCGGGACAGAAACAGACTGAACAAGCTGGTCAGGAGGACCAGCTCCACTCTGGGCTGCTCCCTGGACTCTGTGGAGGAGGTGAGGGACAGGAGGGTCTAGTCAAAGTCACTTCCATCATGGACAACACCTCCCACCCACTGCACAGGACTGTAGAGGAGCTGAGGAGCTCCTTCAGGGGAAGACTGAGGCACCCCCAGTGTAGGAAGGAGCGCTACCGCAGGGCCTTTATCCCCACTGCTGTCAGACTGTACAATAAGTCACTTTAAGTCACTGTATAAGACTGAAAAAAAAAAAACCTGCACTACTACTATTGACACTATATCTGACTGCCACTTTAAATTGCCACTTTTATTGTACATATATATCCTGCATGTAACATGTTTGCACATTTCCTCCTTTTGCACAATCTGAGTGTTTCTATCCATGCCAAACGTGTAAATTTCTCCTTGTGAGATAAATAAAGCATATCTTATCTTATCTTATCTCTGAAAAATTAACTAAAAATCAAAGACACTTTTCAGGGTTTTGATGGTTGTAGTAGCTCCAATTGAACAGTAGCTAACACTTCAAACAAGGAAGATCTCTGGCTCTCACAGACCTGTAACTTCTTCTTTAAGAAGCTCTCTTTACCTGTAGTAATGGCACCTGTTTGAACTCGTTATCTGTATAAAAGACACCTGTCCACAGCCTCAAACAGTCAGACTCCAAACTCCACTATGGCCAAGACCAAAGAGCTGTCGAAGGACACCAGGAAAAGAATTGTAGACCTGCACCGAACTGGGAGGAGTGAATCTACAATAGGCAAGCAGCTTGGTGTGAACAAATCAACTGTGGAAGCAATCAGAAAATGGAAGACATACAAGACCACTGATAATCTCCCTCAATCTGGGGCTCCACGCAAGATCTCATCCCGTGGGGTCAAAATGATCATGAGAACGGTGATCAAAAATCCCAGAACCACACGGGGGGGCCTGGTGAATGACCTGCAGAGAGCTGGGACCAAAGTAACAAAGGTTACTACCATCAGTAACACACTATGACGACAGGGAATCAAATCCTGCAGTGCCAGACGTGTCCCCCTGCTGAAGCCAGTGAATTTTCAGGCCCGTCTGAAGTTTGCCAGAGAGCACATGGATGATACAGCAGAGGATTGGGAGAATGTCATGTGGTCAGATGAAACCAAAGTACAACTGTTTGGTATAAACTCAACTCGTCGTGTTTGGAGGAAGAACAATACTGAGTTGCATCCCAAGAACACCATACCTACTGTGAAGCATGGGGGTGGAAACGTCATGCTTTGGGGCTGTTTTTCTGCTAAGAGGACAGGACGACTGATCCGTGTTAAGGAAAGAATGAATGGGGCCATGTATTGTGAGATTTTGAGCCAAAACCTCCTTCCATCAGTGAGAGCTTTGAAGATGAAACGTGGCTGGGTCTTCCAGCATGACAATGATCCTAAACACACCGCCCGGGCAACGAAGGAGTGGCTCCGTAAGAAGCATTTGAAAGTACTGGAGTGGCCTAACCAGTCTCCAGACCTCAACCCCATTGAAAATCTGTGGAGGGAGTTGGGCCAAAATACCAGCTACTGTGTGTGCAAACCTGGTAAAGACCGATAGTAATCGTTTGACCTCTGTTATAGCCAACAAAGGTTATATTACAAGGTATTGAGTTGAATTTTTGTTATTGACCAAATACCTACTTTCCACCATAATGTACAAATAAATTCTTTAAAAATGTCAATTCCTGGATATTTTTTTTTCACATTATGTCTCTCACAGTTTGAATGTACCTATGATGAAAATGACAGACCTCTTTCATTATTTTAAGTGGGAGAACTTGCACAATCGGTGGCTGACTGAATACTTTTTTGCCCCACTGTATATATATATTTCCAAATTCTTGCCTGTAGTAGCTAGCTATTGTTCATTGGGAGCTACTACACCCATCAAAACTGGGGGAAATATCTTGATTGATTTTTAGTGAATTTTTCCAATTTCATTTTTGTTACTGTGAAGGGGAAAACCATATTTTTCCCAAAAGTTTGGCTGTAGTAGCTAGCTATTGTTCAAATGGAGCTACTACACCCATCAAAACTGGGGAAAATATCTTTGTTGATTTTTAGTGAATTTTTCCAATTTCATTTTTGTTACTGTGAAGGGGAAAACAATATTTTTCCCAAATTCTTGCCTGTAGTAGCTAGCTA